GGGTGCTGCTGCCGCCACTCAGCTTGGCTCTTTTCTTAGCTGCACTATTACGAAGGGACCTAAGAGAGCTTTGCATCTAAGAAAAAGAAAGAAAACAACTCGTGAGATTAAATTCATATATATACATATATATATATATGTATATATATATATATATTCCTTAGATATTTGAATGCCATTAACTTTGCCAAGCTAGCCACTCCTCCATCTAGTGCAAACAAAATGGATATTAATATATGCAGAGAATAAAAACTAGACTCCATTGCTTGGGCTAATAAACAACCTACTAGGCTATGAGCTGTTATGAAGACAACTCTCCCCTACTATTAACCATGGCATTTTGGCAAATGACAAAATGATTGAATATACTATATGAATTCAATTAGTACTGAATCAGTGACTCTGAAAGTAGAAATTACAGATTACAAGTGAAAGAAACTAATCAGCTACTATAGCTCCTTACATCCTGGAGATGAAACTGGAGTAAGCCATTTTATAGAATATGAAATGTACATAAAACCTGTAAGAGCTACATGTCAAAGCAATGAATCTCTAAAAAGTCATGCAACTTACTGAGCTGCAAGTAAGCTACATTGCCAGCCCCCAAACTAAATTATTTTTATATGTAAGAAAAACTGTTATGGCATAAAAGCACTATTATTTTCCTTATGCAGCAATTATATTACAGGATATTAAAGATTTTTTAATAATTAAAAAATGAGTTCTCACCTCTTCTTGGTCCAAATCTCTATCCCTGAAATTCAATTCTGAAAGATCAATTGTAAGACTATCTTTTTCACTGTTCCAAATATCATCAGGTTGTTTCTTTTTGTGTCCTACTGTGCTTAAGTCAGTTTTATCAGGCAAAAGGCTTATTCCCCTAGGTATGGGAGGGACAGGCTTTGTCCCATTTAGGCCTCTTCGGGAAGAAGGTGATCTCACCAAGGCAGGTGTAAGTTGAACTGGCGTAATTTTTTCTTGAGAATTTTCTCCTGCATGAAAAATATGTATTTTATTTTCCCTTATCTTCAGAGTAAGTTTGAGTCATAAGTATTTAGAATATAGTATTTTAAAATTAAAAAGTACATTATCTGTTGTGGAATATTTATACACTGTGCAAAGATATACTGCTGTGATTTGTATAATAAAAAGCTGGACAGCCAATAGCTAAGAAGAAGGTATAGGTGGAACTTATGGGCAAAGAGAACTCTAGGAAGAAGAAAGATGGGAGTCACCAGCTAAACATGGAAACAGGAGGTGCAAGATGGGAGAGGTAATGCCACATGGCAGAACGTAGATTAATATAAATGGGTAATTTAAGTTATAAGAGCTAGTTGAGACAAGCCTAAGCTAAAGGCCAAGCTTTCATAATAATAATAAGCCTCAAAGTTGTTATTTACAGGTTGGCGGCCCCAACAAGAAAGTGCAACAATTATCTTATATTAGAAACAGACTATTATGTAAAATAAAATGGAATAAAAGCACCAGTGTTCCCCAATAAATACAGCAAAAATAAGCATACGGAATCCCTGCATATTATATTAAAATACTATATACTAAGCTACCTTATCAGTCATCATGATTAATATTTGTTAATTTTAAAAGTTCAAAATAAGCCAGAAAGTTATTCTTTTGGTTTGACTTAATTATACAAGCAATATTTCAGTGACTGGTATATGTGAAGCAGCACTGGTTGATAGGAAGACCAAGTGAACACACAAACACACACACACAAAACACACACACACACACACACACACCACACACACACACACACACACACACACCCACCCACCCACCCCTGAGATTCCCAGATCAGAATCAACAATTCACATATGCTAAGAGCAAGAGCTCTACCACTGTGTCACACTCACAGACCAAAGTCTTGGTTTTCAATATGATATTTGCTCTTATAGGGAAAAGAAATAGATTAGTAAAAGCATATGGAGGATCAGCATGAGGAGAAAGTTGTGACATAATAGGCTGAAGATGAAAGCACTGAGCTTATGGTTATAAACTGAACTCTAGTTATGTGGGTATCTCTAAAGCAGAACATCTTATCTTAGAGGCTGAGGACAGGAAAGCATGAAGGATATAAGGAATGCCTTTTTGTACACTTTATTTGGAAGCTGAATTTGTCTGAATGAACCTATATGCTAATACCATGATATGAGAGTAGCATATTATTAAGAGACAATATTTTAGTTAATAACAAAAGAAAATGTTTTACAATAATTCTAGCAAATAATAAATACTTAGGGAATGTCAAATACATGAATAGATAGTATAGTAAAATATGAAGGATATTTTATATTTGAATGGTAACACTTGCCAGCAGGCCCTTAAACAACATGTTCCTTTCTACTATAAAGCATTATTACTTTCCTGATTCTGAAAAGATGTCTTAAAGTGGCAATGTAAGGAAAGAAATGGCCACTTCAAATAAATTTCAATTATTTATTTTGTCTATTAAATATATTGTTAAATACTTTCCCAAATATTTATAGGTCAGAAGAAAATATAATTAGCCAGGTTTTAAAATCTAACAACATTATAATACATTAACTACAAAGCATGTATTCAAACATAAACATAGCATTAATCTTTACCGACGTTCTTACCTATAGGGTCAGATGATTTCTGGTTGACAAGTTTTTTCTGTGGACTTGGCTTTGATAGTCCTTCAAAGCTTTTAAGAGGCCAAGAATTTGAGAAACTAGTGGAATTATCTTGAGATTTCTTTGGAGATACAGAAAGAGGAGATGTGTGCTTTGGACTAGTTCGAGGAGATGAGAGAGCATAGGATGGAAGAATAAAGGGTCCTGGGCTTGTATTTGAACCAGAGTATGAAGAAGTTCGTTCTGTTTGACTACCAAATGTTTGCTGTGTCTTACTGCCAAAATTTAGGCTAGTATATACTGCAACAAAACAACAAGAATATGTTATTTATATGTACACATTGTCTTAGAGTTCAAAGACTCTTCCCCTTTTCACATTCGGATCCCCCCATACAGCATTTGTGTTTTTATATGGTGTCAGGCATAGAAGAAATTTTAAGCACTAACACTTCATATCTTTGAATCCCAAGCTTTCTTATCCTACTGAAAATTTCTATACTTGTAAATTTATTTTCTTCTTGTAATTTTATAAAATTGTATTATGTAAGCATGTATATGCATTTATCTCAAGTACATACATTAAAAGTATTTTTAGTGAATCATTCTTATAATTTTGGTGGAAATATTTCATTATCAACATACTTATTCTTTGAGCACGTCTACTGTAGCTTTTCTACACTTTATCTTCTCCCAACTTACTTTTGATAACTTTTAAATAATGACTTTTTAAAAGTGTGTGACATTTAGCATTTACTACAGGGTCTTTCACATGCTAAGCAAATTCTCTACAATGGAGCTGTATTGCTACCCCATAAACCTCCAACACACACACACCTGCTTTTCAGAGAGAAAAAACTATCAACTGCATTAATTAATTTATTTACTTAGTGCAGGTATATATGTGTATGTGGAAACCAGCTCTGGTCCTCAACTGCTCTCCACCTTATTTTTGGACTAGGCTAAAGTAGTTTGACAGTAGTCAAATAGAGGAATCACCCTCTCTCTGCTTTGCCAACACTGGAATTACAGGTGCACTGTCCTGATCTGGCATTTACGGGGATACCAGAGATTGCTATCAAAGGTCCTCATGTTTGCAAGGCAAGTACTTCACCAACTGAGCCATCTTTCCAGTCCCATCCACTATAATTTAAATGGTAAGTTCTTATTTAGTTGGCAGCAATTATTGATAAGCCTGACTAATTCTGTTATCTTATCTTTCTTTCTGCATTACTTTTGTCCTAGCTTTGCTTTTGTCTGTGGTGACACTGCCTATGCTAGCCTTGAACTTCCTAATCCATCTAACTCTACCTTCCTAGTGGTGGAATTAAAGGCATGCAAAAACAGGCACAACCTTTTTTGTTTGTGTGTGTGTTTAAAATAATGGTTCTTGGGATGGAAACCAGAGTTTGTGTTCTAGGCAAGTGTTCTAATAAGCTACCATCAGATCAATTTTCACAACTCCTTGTGTATACAGTCGTGTATACACTTGTATATATACTCTTACACCCCTCCATTTTTTCCTTTTTTTTTTGAAACAGGTTCCCACCATGTAGCCCAGGCTAGCCCAGACTTTGTCATGGCAATTCTGCATCGTTCCAATTGCTCAGACCACAGGCATTAGCCATCATGTCCATTTTATATCCTGTCTTATCTGAAACAACCTGTCAGAAAGTTATAGTTTCTAAAAAAAAACACAATGCATCCTACTTAGCTTTAAAATTTAAATAACTGCATGCACATAGTACTTATTTAATGTTATTTTTAATTTGCATTAGCCTTCACCAGAATTTGATAAACTTTAATTAGTCATATTTAAGTCAAAATTAAAAGGTGTAACATTTTAGAAAAACAATTATGAAAAATACCAGTATTTAATTATAACAAGTTTTCATTATGATCATACGAAGTAGCATGTGAGCTAGTGTCAGAAATCTCACGTATTTATAAATAACTTTATCTTGATGGCCATTGGTTGTGCCCAGGAACTGTAAGTCAGAACCCACACTGCCTGTCTTACTACCTATCTGTACCTATCTGTGACAGTCCAAGCTGCCAACATTTCCCAGAAAGATTTGTCTCATGAGTCTCCCAGTGCTGGGACTGAAGGCATACACCATCATGCTTGGAAGAATACCTACTTTCTATGAAAGTTACACAATTAAACATCTTTTCTGGCAAAAGTTCTTAGGTTATTTTTTACCTCCCTTTTCTCACTCTCTGTAAGGAATCTATCAGCAAATCATGTCAATTTTTACCTACGGTATGTAATCAGAATCCAATCACTTCTCACTGCTATGCTGGTTAAGCCCTCTGTAAACTTCAGCCAGGATTATGACAAGGAACTCTCCCTTTGTCTTCCTTTCCCTTTTTTTTTTAAGATTTTATTTATTTATTATGTATACAACATTCTGCTTCCATGTATATCTGCACACCAGAAGAGGGCACCAGATCTCATAACGGATGGTTGTGAGCCACCACGTGGTTGCTGGGAATTGAACTCAGGACCTCTGGAAGAGCAGTCGGTGCTCTTAACCTCTGAGCCATCTCTCCAGCCCCCTTTCCCCTGTTTTAACTAAAACATCCAGAATGAGCTTGGAAAGTATAAGGCAAGTGGTAGCACTTCTTTAAAATTCTCCTCGGAATAAAGGCTAGTTGGTTCAGTAGTCTAAGAAAGAGTCTTACAACTGATGTCTGGAACTTTCAGCTTTGCACTTCTTCCATTTCATTCCTATCATTCTAGTCTCTGCCACCTTTGTGAAACAAGTCCTCCATTCAACTATCTTAGTTATTCTGTTCTGAAATCACTTGCTCTTCTCTCCTCACATCTACTGGTTTGCTTTAAACATCCCCTCCTGAATACTGCTGCCTTTAATCATATAGTTTAAAATATTCCTATTCCTCTTCCACATCAAAATCTAATCTACCAAGTCTTACACTGATTTAATATTTGCTCCCCTGCTCAACTAGAATTGAAGCTTTTCTGTTTGCTTTGTTTTTGAGACAGGGTCCCACTATGTAGTCATAGCTGGCTTGAAACTGTCTGTAGACAAGGCCTGGAACTCAGACCTGTTGGTCTCTCCTCCCCTAGTTCTAGCACTAAAGGTATGCAATCACCACATCCAGCATAGAATACAAACTTTTTTGGCTTTGTTATGCCTTTCTTGAAGGCACACCCCCAGCACTAAGAAAAGCATCTGACATGCAGAGATTCTCAGGAAACATTAGAGGCTTATTAAGTGACGATGGCCCTACATTACTAACAGCCTGCCATGAGACCTATGATCTCATGACACAATTATGCCAAAGTGCCCACTCTTATCCAATCTTCAACAAGCATTTATTAAATAAGACTTGCTTGTTGGATTATACATAGTTTTTATAAGCCCTCAAATGGATAATGAAGTTTAGAGAATCTTTAACTTAGTTCAACACACCTATTATCCTAAACATTTACTTACCATTACCACACGTAGGAATTGAATCTGAGTTAAAATCCCGACTACTCTGAAATAAGTTTCTTGACCTTTTTTTGCTAAAACATAAATCATCATTGACTGGCATTCCTTGAGAGGGCTTTAGTTTTGGAGATGGGATGAGGTCATTAGCTGAAAACTGAGAAGAGAGTGAGTTAGCAAATTTTTGCTAAGCCTCCTTGGTAATAAATATGAAAAAAACAATTTAGATCCAATTACAAAACTCAGATAAGAGAAAAATATTCTTGAGTATGCAATAAACTTATTCAATATGACACACTATTTTTTTCTTCCAAGATAGAAATGCTACTTTTACTATACCTCAACTCTGTTCTTTACTTTTCTATAATGCATACATGGCGTCTCTTTGCCGTCTCTCTGCCTACCTTTCCCAGAATTCTCTTTTCGTCTCCTAGTCCCGCCTATCTTCCTGCCTCTATTGGCTAAGCAGTGTTTTACTCATCAACCAGTAAGAGAAACATATATACAGAAGGACATCCCCCATCATGAGTAGGTAACCCAGTAAGGATTCTTTTACATTAATTTCAAATTTTTAAAACCCATCCTCCCCTATTACCTTTCCAAACTCTAATAACGCTTCTACATTCAGGTTGACTTTTGTTATTGTTGTTGTTGTTAGCTTCCACATCAAAGAGAATATGCAGTTCTCTATTTCCCATATCATAATTTTCATGTTTTTTTACAAATATTAAAAGTAAACATTTTCATATACAGAGAATTCTAGAATTTTAAAAAGAAAACTACTTATTGGTAATCATCTAACATTTACACTGATAACTTTCATGACTTTGACAAGCTCCAATACCAAAGTTGCTTGTTTTGAAGGAACTGAGACAAGGTCTCATAGCCTAGGCTGGGCTCAAATTCACTATGTAGTCAAAGATGACCTAAATTCTTGATTTTTCTGCCTCTGACTCCCAAATGCTGAGATTACAGGTATGAGCCACCAGACCCAATATTTGAAGCACTGGAGACTGAACTCAATCTCAGCTTTCTAGGCAGGCACTTTACCAACTTAGCTATAAATACATTACCAAGCCTGTTATTGAGTGATTGACTGACTGATTTATATAGGCTGACCTCAAATCTGCCATTTAGCCCAGGCTACCTTAATACATAAATTGATAACGTTATTAATGGGTTTTGGAAATTTATTCCAACTTTTACTTTCATGAATGCCTTGAGGCTTACAACTTTAATTCTATTAGAGATTTGGAGCAAAACTGTATCCATTTATTTAAAAAACAAAAGAGATACTAAAATAACAAAGTAATTGTGGTTGACTTTAAACTTTGTAAATACATTATCAAAAGTGAAAATTGATAGTGTCAAGGAGGGCTGAGGGTACAGAACACAGTAGAACATTCACCTACCACGTGTAAGACTCCACGTACAATTTCCAGCACTACAAACAGACGCACAATAACAAAAGCATGGGCATGCACGCACATGCAGGTGCCCATACACATAGAGGGAAGACATCTAGTTTACACTCCAGTGTGTAAGGAAATGAGAAATTCTAACACCAATTCAAAACATGTAAGTTTATCCACCAGAGACAGTCATTAAAAGCCAAATTGCAACAAATAGATACTTAGAATTTTAACCGACAGGCGGAACTTTCTGAGGTAGACAAAGGTAGGACAGGGAAAAGAACTGTTAATTAACAAATTGCTCGAGGCTCAATAGCAGCACAGGGAAAGCTACAGCTCTAGAGACAGGAGCAAGTCACAAGGGAGTGAGTCCCCACTCTTCTTTGCGTTTACCTCCAGGAACTCTATCATGACTTTACATTGAGGAGAGAAGTAAAAAGTTAAATGTTTCTGCAAGGAAAGAGAAAATGTTAGCAGTTATTGTGAAATACACAGAGCTTTTCTATGCTTACCAAGGCCTGCCCTGAGAAGAAGCTTTTCCTTTTAAGTAAAGCCTGATCTGCTGAAATTCTACCAGAACCTAAGTGATCCAATTGAAGGGAAATGGTCAGTTACAGTTCCCTCCAGTCAGCTTTCCCTATACAAATGGCTCAGGAGGTTAAAGGCATGCATGGGTGGATCTCTGAATCCAGAGTGCAGGCATGACCGCTCCTAATTACAGGACTACAGAACACTTCCCCCACACTAAACACCTATTTTGTTTTGTTTGGTTTGGTTTTTCCAAGACAGGGTTTCTCTGTGTAGCTTTGGAGCCTATCCTGCCACTTGCTATGTAGACCAGGCTGGCCTCAAACTCACAGAGATCTGCCTGCCTCTGCCTCCCGAGTTCTGGGATTAAAGATATGTGCCACCACTGCCCTGCTAAAATTAATTTATTTTTATTTTATGCGCATTTTTCTTATGTGTTTTGCGTGCATGTAAGGGTGTTGGATTCCCTAAAGCTGGAGTTACATACAGTTGTGAGATGCCATGTGGGTGCTGAGAATTGAACCTGGGTGTTCTGAAAGAGTAATCAGTGCTCCCAAGTGCTGAGCCATCTCTCCAACCTGCCCTTCACTTTAACATCTATTTACCACTAACTTTTTCTCTAGTACACCAAAGTCAACTCTCAACCAAACTTACAAGGCATAAAAAAAAAACTAAACCAAACCAAAGCTAGTAACAAAACCACAGATAGAAGAAAATGAAAAGCATTAGAATCAGCATCAAATATGGCAACAAGGCTGGAATAATTAGGTCATGATAAAAAATAAAAAAAAAAACCCTATAATATGTAAGAGGCTATCCAGGAAAAAGACAAAAATACAAGTACATGTTAATATAAACTGAAATTTGGCAATTGTGAGAAAGCAAGATAAAAAACATTGGAAGAGCAAGTGGGAATGCCTTCAGTATGTGCTTTAGTACCACAAGATAAAGGGATCAATAATCCTAGAAAATAAAATCATCTTTAATAACAACATAGTGTCAAGTTATGTGATGGAAATCCAAGCAAAACTGCAAAGAGAAATAAATGAATCCACTATTACAGTTGGAGACTTCATCAGCTCTGTATCAGAAACTGACAGATCCATGGAGAAAAACAGAAAGGACAGCTGAACTCAACAACATGAATGAACTAGATATAACAGCTATAGATAATTTCATCTAACAACAATTAGGTATTGTTCTCAAGCTCACACAGGACATTCATCAACATAATACAACATTATGAGCTAAGGAGATAGTTAGAAGGGCAGATACATGCTGTATAAGCAATGAGGACCAGTGTCTGTAACCTTGTGAGAAGTGGGTGGGGCAAAAACAGGAAGATCACTGGGGCTTGCTGAAGAATCCTTGAGCTCCAGGTTCAATGAGAAACCCTATCTCAGTACAGAAGGTAGACATCTGTAGAGGAAGTCACTCAGTGTCAAACTCTGGCCTCTACACACAATTGAGAAAGCACACTCTCATGCATGTACACACACAAACAGAAAGAGACGACACATTCTAGGTTATAAAACATACTAAGAAATTTAATGAAGACATTAAGCTAGAAATCAGCAACACAGAGACAACACTAAAAACAAACCAGTAATTGGAAATATACTTGTAAATTACACGTAGTCAAAGAAACAATATTAAGTGAAATTTAAACAAACTTCAAATTAGATAAAGATGTTTCTGGAATGACAAAATTATTTCCATTATTAAAAATCAAAGTTGTTGGGCCAGCAAGATGGTTCATCCGGTAAGGGCACTGCAGCCAACCCTGATGAGCAGAGGTCAACCCCCCCCCCAACCCACACAGCTCAAAGAGAGAACCAACTAACTCCCTCAAGTTGTCCTATGACTTTCCTACCCGTGTTATGGCATGAATGTTCCCCACTTTCTTCCAATAAGTAAATAAAATGTAAACAAGAAAAAGAACAAGTTAAATTAAAAGAAAGCAGAGAAAAAAGGTAATAAAAATTAGCATAGAAATCAATAAAAATGGGAAATCAAGAGAAACATTCTGCAAAACCAAAGTCTGACTTCTTGAAAAGATCAATAAAACGGATAAGCTTTTAGTTAGACACTTCTAACAGCAGAAATGAAAGAAAAGCACATAAGTCACATCAATATTAGGATGAAACAGACCAGGTCTGCCTCTAGATTCATTGAATAAATAATCACCTTCCAGAACAAAAAGCCCCATGCTCAGTTGTGTTCATTAATGAAATCTATTCAACATTTGCAGAGGAAATTATGTCTATTTTCTATAGCCTTACTTAGAAGGCAGCCACATAAGACCTACTTCCTGCCTCATTCTATGAGGCTGGCACAGATGCTGTCTGACTACAACTTCACAAAACTCAGAAAAAGGCAAAAGTGTGGAAATAAGGGATGTGTTCCCCTAGAGGTGGGAAGGGGAGAAGAGATAAGCATTCATAACACAGAGATTGTGCATGGCAGGTAAACTGTTCTTTATTGTGACCACAATGGTGGGTCCCTTGCCAAAACCCCATATATCATCAAAGCAGGAGCCTAACATAAAAGATGAATTTTTTGTTCTTCTTACTATGCTTTCACTGACTCTACCACCATGATGTGCTACCGATGATGTGCTGGAGGTTCCCGGGCAGGCTATTTAAGTGTGGGGGGAGGGGCAGGGAATTCACAAGCCACTTGCACTTTGCAGTTAGTGTAGCTATCATCCCCGATCTGCTCTATAAAACACACAGTAACAAGAATAATATACATATACACTTTATAGCTGCACATTTTCATCTATTTAGTCCATGCCCTCATTTTAGATAACTTATAGTGTATTTCTACGAGCATTTCTCTGAGTACATATCGACAACTTGATTTCTATGGTAAATTTCAGTTTCACCACAGCTTTCATATAAATTAGTCCAAACTGGCATTTCAGAAATGCATTTATTCTCTGATTCCTGTTGTTATGGTCAGCACCAGAATATTACTATGATTACAATTATTATTTTGATATGGGGTATCATGTGGCCCTGGTTGGCCTCTGACTCACTAAGTAGCCAAAGATGCCCTTTAACACCTCAACCACCTGCCTCCCCATCCCAGGTGCTAGGATTACAAATATGTGCCACCATGCCCTGCCAGAACAGAATCTTAACATACCCACTAAACATCTCAGACTAGTATGGTAAGTACTTAAACATCTTACCTAGTACGTCAAGGCCCTAGATTCAAGCCCAGCACCACAAATACAACTAAAACTAAATACAACTCCTTGGAATGGGAAGAAATGAGAACACTTAGGAGTCAGTTCCATCTGCTTCAGTACTACTGCAAAAAGATAAATGTGGCTCACCTTTAATCCCAGCACTTGGGAGGCAGAGGCAGGCGGTTCTCTGTGAGTTTGAGGCCAGCCTGGTCTACAGAACAAGTACCAGGACAGGTTCCAAAGCTACACAGAGAAGCCTGGTCTTGAAAAACAGAAAAGAAAAAAACAAAACAAAAAAACAAAACAAAACTATGGAGCTGGGCATAATGGCACACACCTTTAATGCCAGAACTCAGGAGGTGGATCTTTGTGAGTTAAAGGCTAGCCTGGTCTATATAGCAAGTTCCAGGACAGCCAGAGCTACATAGTGAAACCCTGTTTCAGGGAAAAAAAATAAAAAATTAAAAACCGAAAACAAAAACCAAAAGAACTACAAAAAAATCTTGAACTTTATTTACAATGATGTTGGAAGCTAGGCTTTTATAAAAGAAAATGACAAAGAACCTGCATTGCCCAATTCAGTTGGAATTACTCAGAGGAACTTACTTAAAAAAAAAAAACAAAAAACAAAAAACATCTTGGTTCTGTCCACTGAAAAGGCTGATCTGCAATGGAAAGAATTAGCAATGAGAGAAAACATATGCAGAATTTGGTTTTGAAATATTATTACTCTACTATACTGTCAATATTAGGAGCTTATGGGGAAACAGCTGATCCCAGTGTGAAACAAGGAAAATGACAGGAGCCAAGGAAAGATGACAGGAGCCAGCCACTGGTCAAACATGGGTAATTTAGCACCAAAAAACTCAAGCTGATGGCCAACATTAAATGAACTAAATGGGATTTTGGAAATTTTTGTCCCATAATGCTTTGTCTGGGCATTTTTTTAAAACCTTGCAGATCTTTTGCTTATGTATTATGTTTCTGATTTTATATTTTTATGGGATTTCTATGTGTTTGAGTGTTTCTGATGCTTTTCTGTTGGCTCTTTTTTTTTCTGTTTGTTTATTTTGTCCTGTTCTGGATTGTTGTTTGTTTTTTTAGTTGCCTGTTTATTTCCTAATTTGAGGAAGATTGTAGATCTGGGTGGCTGAGGAGTTGGGGAGGATCTGGGAAGAGTTGGGCGAGGAGAAACCATGTTTAAAATATATATGCATTAAAAAAATCTACTTTTAATAAAAATTTGAATTATAAATAAATTTTTAAAAACTTAATTTGGGTATGGAAAAAAGACTCAGCAGTTCAGGGATCTTGCTGTTCTTACAGGGATAGAGTTTGGTCCCCAGCACCAATACTGGGCCAAGTTACAGAATCCTATATTTCCTCTAGCTTCACCAAATCTGACACCCTCTTCTGGCTTACACACACACACACACACACACACACACACACAGGCATAACCACAGAAACACATAAATAGAAATAAATCTTTAAAAGTACAAACTTGAATTTAATGAGCAAATTTTTTTTTTTTTTTTTTTTTGAGACAGGATCCCTCTGTGGCTTTGGAGGCTATCCTGGAACTAGGTCTTGTAGACCAGGCTGGTCTCGAACTCACAGACATCCACCTGCCTCTGCCTCCCAAGTGCTGGGACTAAAGGTTGTGTGCCACCACCACCCAGCTTGAAGCAAAAATTATAGGTATAATAATTACACATAGAAAAGAATTTTAGGCAACAAATATAGAAGAAATGCTTTTTGTCTTTAATCACATTCTTTATGGCCCCCAATGTAATAACTTTTAATAAAAGTAAAAATACTCACTGGATGTCAAGAACAATGAGTAAAATGTTACTGAGGTATGTAACATTTATGGTAAAGGGAATAATATACCTTTATAATGGATCTTGTTGTCAGTTTAAATCAAGCGATAAATGATGTGTTACTCAAGGTGGGACAAGCCCTTTGTGCTGTATCCATTACTTAGGTAATATATTTGCTAAGAATTTTCCCCTCCTTTGGTTTTTCAAGACAGGGTTTCTCTGTATTGTTTTGGAGCCTGTCCCGGAACTTACTCTGTAGACCAGGCTGGCCTCGAACTCACAGAGATCCGCCTGCCTCTGCTTTCCGAGTGCTGGGATTAAAGGTGTGAGCTTTCCTAAGAATTTTTATCTTCAGTCTAATCATAGAGAAACAATCAGACAAACTAGCAATTGTGAGATACTGCACAAAACAATTACCCCAGCCTTCAGTAGGAAAAGGGGCCTACCATGAAAAAACATACAAAACCCACAAAAAGGTAGGGACATAATACTAGGATAAAAGACAACAGCCACAACAACCATGATTGGATCTTGGTTGGTAAAATAAAATAAATAAAATAAATAAAATAAAATAAAAAATATAAAACACTGGGAATAAATGGAGAAATTTAAATAAAAGCTATATACTATTTAATTACTGTTAGTATTCTAAAGCACAGTAATAGTTAGAAAATAACATTTTAGAAGACGTATGTCAAAATATTAAGGAGTGAAATCCAAAATATGTCTATTTACTATCAAATGGTTCATAAACTACGGGGCAAATATTACACAATGTAAACAGGCAAATACAGATGAAGTACATGAGTACTGACTATACTATGAATCTACATGTAGATTTACACATTTTAAAATGAAAGCTTTTGGGGGACAGGAATCCCAGTTCAAAGATCAGACCTCTGAAGGCTATTTTGCTTTGTCTAATGGAACTATTTTCCCTACCTTTGGTATTACACAACACCCTGTATTTCTATTCTAGCACTTAATACATGTTAATTGCCAGTTTGCAACTTTCTCCAGAAACCACTTGGAACTGGAACTAATTCTGGTACCTACTAGGTATTTGGTGTTTGTTGTATGATCGAGAAGAATGACATGATGAAAACAATAAGCCATAATTGAAACCCATTTATTGTCCGTTATCACATTGATCCTCAAATTTAATCAAGAAGGAACCCTACTAAATGGACTTACATAACCATTGTAATGGATGTCCAAATCAGCACTTAATTCAGAAATTTTCGTTGTAAATTTTTCATTTTTCAACTCAAGAAAATTAAGCATACCTGCTCCGTATCTTTAGTGTCCTTGGAATTGGAGGTCTGATTTTCTCCTGTGACTCCAGGCTGCTCATTTTCCCATGGTAATTTGTTTTTCCCCTTTCCAGCACTTAATACCCTTCGGGTACAGATCGTTGGACTGTAGGATCCATACAGCTGCATGCTGTCCCTCGTGTGGTCACCACAGTAACAGTGTGCACTCTGAGTTCTGTTACCAGACATAAGCCAGTCTGTATCTGCTCCATGTGCCAAATGGCTTGACCTACCCTGGGCAGAAGATGGCATGAGTATTGCATACTCCACAAATCCCTGCTCTGTTAGCCGTGGTAGAGTTTTTCTGGCCAATCTGGCCTGCACAGCATTCATCACTCCATCTCCATTATCTTGCAATTCAACAGTATCTACAGCTTTAAAAAGGACATTGGTTTTACCTGAGCCCATTGATGATGCCAAAACAGCAAAGGCTTCTAGAGCTGCTTGGCGTACCCTGCGTTTGCTATCTACAAGAGCTGGAGCAAGATCAAAAGACAGTTTGGATAAGTCAAAATCCTCACTGGGATAGGTCAGGAGGGAACAGATGCAAATGTTCACTACTTCCTCTCTGACTCTGGAATGCTTATGTTTGAGATTTTCCAGGAGCAAACAAAGCACCTGCTGAGGGCCTACTTCTTTCATTAGCTTTAGAAAGATTTTCATGTATTCCTGCTTGATCACCAACTTGTTGTCTGCTAGCACTTTCACAGAAGCCGCTATAACTGGTCCCAAAAACTGTTGTACCTGCTCTCCCAGGCGAATGACCAGTAAATGCAGAACTTGAAGTGTGCCATGGACCACTTTGAAATTGGAATCGTCTAACAAATTATACAGCAAGCTAATGAAACCAACAAGACTAGAATGAGGGGTAGAACTTGGGTTAAATTTTCCCAGCAACTGTTTTAGTTCTTCAACAGCCTGAGTCCTGTTCTTATAGTCTTCCTGATCTAACAATCTTGCATGCAGCTCCTGAGGAATAATCCCAAATTTAAGATTGCTACTGGAAAGAGCCACTACACAAGGGGTAGGATCTTCAGAAAACCCAGAGGTTTCTAGCTCCAAATAATAAGGAACCTCACTTCCAAACTGGGACTCCAGGCGGCGGTTGTAGTGCCTCCTCAGAGCAGAGGGCAGACGAGAGATGTACGATTGAAACCTCTCTTGACCAAGTCGTTCTCCAATTTGTTGAAGTGTCGAGAATGCTGTCTCGGATTCTTGTTCCATCTCTTGGCCGCCAAGTTTTCGGGCCAGAGATATTATTATCTCCGTGAGATCCAAGCCCTGCAACAAATCCTCAGGAGTAAGCAAGATAGGGAGCAACAGCGCGGTGGAAGCTCTAAGCCGGGCATCTGGACTTTCCAGGCCTTGGATCAGCGTTCTCAGGACCTGGCCAGAACTACGCCTCAGACAAATATGCAGGATCTGCAGCGCATCTTTCCGTAGGGCTGGATTATCCTCTCGTAACGAGACAACTAGTTGGGGCAAAAGCGCTAAACTAAAGGCCTCTTCCAGCTGACCCGCCTCCCCCTGGCCCCGAAGGACGTCCGAGAGGAGCTGCAAGCAGAGTCTCTTCTCATCGCCGCCGCCTTCCACTAGCACTCGGGAGACCCCGGGGGGCCCCCCCCGCCGCGGCAAGGCAGCCTGCAGAGCCTGGAACGCCTCGGAAGGATCCGGTGCGGCGCGCAGGAGTTGAAGGAGCCGAGTCTCCTCCTCATCTCCTCCCGACAGCCCACTGCCAGGCCCCGACCAGCTACTTGACACGTCCGCCGGCAGCAGGAGGGTCGAGGTCAGAGGCGACGGCGTTGAGGGGCAGGAACCGTGATCCCCCGCAGCCCCACGGCAGTAGTAATTTTTCTCGCCTCTCATGGTGGCCCCGGCTCGACGACCATCAGTCCCTGGGGCGGAAGGACGACCGCGGCTCGGGAGGCGATAGGAACCGAGGGTTGCAGGAGGAGGCAGCAGGAGCAGCTCGGAAGGCGCGGCCGCCATGGAGGGTCGTCAGGAAGCGATGGCTGGAGGGAACCATTGCCGTCTTGGGAGGGCTGGATGAAGCCCAGCCTTCCAGCTCCTCTCCGACGCCCGAGGTGCAGAGGATGGCGAGGAACGGCTTCCGTCAGCTGCCAGGCCACTCGGGCCTTCTACTCCCGGAGCCAGCCTCCGGCAAAATGGCCCCCGCCTGAGCCCGGGACCCCACCGCCGCCACCCGGCGTAACCAGGGCCACCACGTGACCAAACCGAGCGCTTCCATGGTGATGCACCCCGCTCGGACCTCTTGACCCGGAAACCAGGGTCCCGAGGTGCATGCTGGGTCATGTAGTCTACGTAGGGAGTCTAGCCTAGGCAGGAGACTCCTGGAAGAGGAAATCGGAATGTTGGAACGTAGCCAGCGTGGCGAGGCGGGGTCAAGACCTTAGACGGAAATGACGCTTCCCTGCACGGGGCGGAAGTTTCCCGCCCCACCCGTAAGAGTTGAGGTTTGACCAGCGCAACTGGGGATCTTGTCCCGCTTCCAGTTTTCCGTGGCTCCTCCTCCTGTCGTTGCAGGTGTAATTCCTGGGACTCAGGTATCTTCCGTTTTGCTGTTTTCCCGCGGTGCAGGCTTTGGCCGAGTGTTGCCTGTGTGCCACATGAGCCGGAGTAAAGAGGTAAAGGTCTGTACCGGAGCAGGCACAGAGGCGACATGTTCTGCAGGGCTGGTTACCATTGTAAACGTTCTACTCTCTGCCATCCCGAGTGAGATCCTTTCTTCCAGCAGACTGCTTATCAGTACAGGAGAACCCAGCCAAGGTCACTCCTATAGACTGAGTACCTTTCTTTTTTTCCTTTTTTTTTCCTTTCTTCTTTAAAAAAAAAATTATTCCAAGTCTTTGGGAACCTTCCTTGTTCCGCCGTCCTCTCCCATGCTTCCTTTTCCTCTCCGCCTGCTGGCTGTGGAGTGTAAAAGGCTTCTGTCACTTTTCATTGTCCGCACCACTAAATTTCCTTAAAGATGTGCAGAATCCGCACTTTCCGCTATTTAGCTAACCGCTTTGCATTAGACCTAGTGCTTAAGATCTTTCTAAGGTAGCTCCTCTGTGGGACTCACCCCCTTCGCCCCACCTGCACTTCTCCAATCTCCCAGTAGGATCCTCGAGTGTCTCTGCAGACTCTCGGTCTCCTGGAGACGGAGATCACTAGACAATTTCAGCTGTGGTGCAAGTTCTTGGCATCACAGTCCTAAGAGGACTCTGCCCAGAGGATTTAGGGTTGATAGACATTATTTTAAACGAACTGAGAATTTGATAGCTGATGGGTGTTTTCTCTTTGCAAATGAAACTATAAGTAAAAGTAAGAGTATCTCCTGTAAGGTCAAACGCTTTGGGTATGAAAGAGCAACTTTTGTTTCAGTATTTGAAACATAACTGTTGCTATGTGTAGTCCAAGCTGGCCTTGAACTTGTTTATTTGTTCTTTTTTTTTTTTTTTTTTTTTTTTTTTTTTTTTTTTTTTTTTTTTGAGACAGTGTTTCTCTGTAGCTTTGGTGCCTATCCTGGAACTTGCTTTGTAGACCAGACTAGCCTTGAAGTCACAGACATTCGCCTGCCTCTGCCTCCCAAGTGCTGAGATTAAAGCCATGTGCTACCATACCCAGCCATATTACTTTTTGAAATCTTGGAATAATTGAGTCATATGTGCCAAAGTGCTTTATGACAATAACTGATATTACTGGTGATGCAAGTTGAAATTTTCTCTATTTTTATTACAGCACAATTTATCATAGATTTTTCTTTTCTTTTTTCTTTTTCTTCTTTTTTTAAAAGTAGTCATGTAGTCACGACTACATGACTGTAAGACCATGTTGCCTATGCTTTGTTGAAAGCCTAGGTAGTTTTCTCATTAGCTTTTGGTTTGTGGTTTGCTGCTGCTGTTTTGTCTTATTTTACTGTGCTGGACATTGAACCCAGGACTTTGCTTATGCTAGGGAAATGCACTGCTACTGAGCTACATACATGGCTTTCCTGATCATTTTGATGAGTAATTGGATTTACCCAAGCTTGGTAGAAAAACAACAACAAAAGCACTGCTGTCCCCACCCCTTTTCTATTTTTAGAGGCAGAATAAGGACAGGACTGAAAACCAAGAGATAACTGTAACACCTGTCAGTGAGAAAGACTGACTGCCAAGTGGCTGGGTCTTGGTAGAGAACTTGCCTAGCATATGCAAGGTTCTGGATGACATTCACAGTACTATGGAAAAAAGCACAGGTTGGGGGATGGGAGGAGGGCTTCCCAGATTCCTATTTCCAACCTAAAAAGCTTAAATATATACTTGTATTCATATGTACCCAAGCTTCAGGAACCCAGTCCACGAGAAAGGAAACAGGAGGATGATGTGTGCATTAGAATGTACACATTAGAATTCCAGTTTATGTTGGCACAGAAGGTTATTCTTTCTGGTGATCAGAATTTTCACATTGAAAACTCCAGCATACTCTTCATGATCTAAGAACTTAAGAAGCCAAGTTACTAACCAGACTAAGGTTGTGTGGAAATTGGTATCAAAGAAAAGGAACTTAGAAAGTCTTGAATGATATTTCATTATTAGTTATGGCAAAAATTTAAAAATGGCCTATAAAGAACACTACTCAAGGGACCTAGACCCATAAGTCAAGCAGTTGCCCTGTCCCTTTCCTTCAAAAAGAGCAAAGCAAGATGAGTCCTTTCTCTCAGTTCCCTGTGGCTCAATGAGTGTTACAGATTGTAATTTATTTATATCTATTACATTATGACTCCTTGGAGATTTGGAAAATACATTAGTTTGATTGTGGATATTTAGGAAATGAGACTTCATTGTTGCATATTTTACTATCTTTTATGATGATCTTATAGAATATAATTCTTATTTGTTTAAATATATTTTATTTTATATCTATTAAAAATATAAGTGTTTAGGAGTCCTTTCTGTATTTACTAGAAAAGCATTCATATGCAATAATAGAGTTAGATAAAGGACCTGCCCCCCCACTTTGGATTTTCAAGAAATGATTTTCTCTGTATAACCTTAGTTATCCAGGAACCCATTTTGTAGACCAAGCTGGCTTTGAACTCAGAGATCAGCCTGCCTCTGCCTTCCAAGTGCTGGGAGTAAAGGCATGTGCTAAAGAACAGTATTTTAATAAGAATATAGAATATGAATACACTTTTTGTTATATTGTAAAAGTAAGCCTCGGGAAATTGAAATGAAGTAGTTAGGGCTATGCTGAAAATTGCAAATTTAAAGCAAAACTTCAATGCTTTCAAAATAATTTAAACCAAGGTAGCAGATTGCAGGAAGGCATGTGCTACTTTCATTCTTTCAGCCGTGCTTAAGAAGGATAGTCACAGCTGCTCTAGATAATGTCTTATTTCCAGAGTTAGAGATAATGAATTTGTTGGATGAGTCACTGTAGCAGACTTTCTTGGTTCACCAGCCCCCAAATCATGACATGGAGACTTATTATTATTAGTGGTAATTATGAATGCTCGGTTTTATATTATGCTCGTCCCACTAGCTCTTATAACATAATTTAACCTTTTTTTTTTCATCTATATTTTGCTTAGGGGCTTTGTTTTTACCTTTCTTTCATCCTGTATGTCCTTCTTTCCTGCTTCCTCCATTATCTGCTTGTCTGGTGGCTGCTTGCCTGATTGGCCCTGGATGTCTCCCCTTTCTTCCTCGTTCTCTCTCCAGCCTAGATTCCTTCTTCTACTTATTTCTCTCTGTCCTCCAGCCCTGCCTATCCCTCTACTGCCTGGCAATTGGCCTTTCAGCTTTTTATTAGACTTGCCTTAGGCAGGCAAGGTAAAACAAATGCAACACATCTTTACATAGTTAAACAAATGCAGCAGATACAAATCCAACACATCTTTATATAGTTAAACAGTTACTCTGTAACAAAACAAATGCAACACATCTTTACACAATTAAACAAATATTCTATTCCACAACAAATCACTTTGTATGTTCTTATGCAAATTTTATAGGTATCCCTGAAATATTAGAAATGAAAGTAAATTCTGCAAACTATAAAAATGTGTATAATTTAAGTTGTCATTACTAAGTACAATGGAACCAATAATTTTAGTCCATTTATTGTGTGCTATGTGCCAAATACTGTGCTAACTGCTTAGTAAATATTAACTTATCTATTCTTCATAACAGATTCTATATCCTTCATCTGTATTAGATACAGTTTAAGGATCAGAAGAAAGGAAAACTCAAATTAGTTTTGCTATGCTTAGAGATTTTAGAAGTTTGGTGACAAGTGAAAAGGATGCCAAAACTGTAGGATAAAACTTGATTTTTTCCATAATTAATCTTTATATTTTTATGTATTATTTGATTATATGTTTTTAATTGCCTTTTTCTGTTTCTGTTCTGAATCTTATTAGTTATTTATGTCAGAGCTTTAATAATGTTAAAGAATTATAAGCTTTTGTTGTTTGGAGACAGGGTCTTTCTATATTTATTTCTGCTACATGTTTCCAAACCCAAAACACAAGGAGTTTTATTAATGACAGGCAGCTAATTTTACTTTTGTTTTTCTACATATAATGAAAATAATTTTCAGAGAAAATGCAATATTGCCACTTTATTCTGTAGATGTATACTGGTAAATATATATTATAGTAGGTTGAGTTCTACTGTAAGGAAAGCTGAACAATGGGAAAAGAATTTAATGACAGCAGTTATGATAAGAATCTGATTTGTTAAATCACATATACGTGTATATATACATACATATATATATATTTTTTTTTGAAGCAACTCTAATTTCTTCTCTATTTACTTGCTATGGCTGTGATCTGTATTTATATGGTGGCAACTAATTGCCTCCCAGATGATTTCTGCACCACTTCTTTGTAGCTTAGATGTCAGTTAAGTAGATAGGTACTAAACTCGAAGCCTGATCTTTATTATCTTTGTTTTAGAACCTAAAATTATGACGTCTTCTTTTAACGTATTATTGATATTAGCACAGCATGAATATCATCAGAAATAAACTACAATGCTGTTGCCTTGTTGAAACTTTGACATTGATACTGTTTATTCAGTATTGACTAATTCAGTTCATATATATAGTACTTGTTAAGTTTTTTTTTTTTTACCATTTTTTACCATTTATCATTTGTTCTTTATAGGCTTACTTTTCTAGATTTGACAGGATCTCACCTTGTATCTCAGGGTGGTCTGGAACTCATCATAAATCTCCTGCCTCAGCCACCTCGGTGCTTGATTGCAGACGTGAAACACCAGTCTCAGCTCTGATATCACATATTTTATGTATTTATATATTAAGTTAACATATGCCCAAAGTCACAAAACTGTTAGGTAGCCAAATGTAGACTTAACTCAGACCTTTCTGGCTCTAGTTCATATATTGTTCACTCCTCTTTCCTGTTTTCAATGGTACTTGCCCTTCCTTCTCCACAAGGTTGTTACTGAGGTAAATGAAACATTGTAAAATTATTTAATAGCATGGGGTTTGAAGATCAGAAATTATTTTTTTCTTTGAGTTACTTTTAGACATTTATGGATAAATACCTGAGAACCAATTACAATAAAAGCTATGAATATTGAATAAGTTGCAAGTAAAATTTGCAGTATTTAGGCTAGAAATAATTGACCTGATTCTCAAAGCCTGGAAAAAACCAGGAGAGCTGAAAGCAGGCTGTCTGGCCTCCCCTCAGCCCTGTGTTTCCTCACTCTATATCTGTGATGAGGTACAGGAATAGTCCCTCCTGGCAGGACCCTAAGTGATACTGATACTTTGGTACAAACACCGTGTTTTAAGCCCTATATTTGAATAACTTCTGTAAATTTTTAAGACATATTTCCTGAGAAAGGAAAGAGGTCAAATTAAAATTTTTAATAATGGAATATATTAAATCTGGTGTCATTAATTTTAAGTTCCTATTTTTTACATTCCCTTTTTAAAGTTTTATTTATAATTATTTTAGTTGAGCATTAAAATATGGTTTATGTGTATTTAATCTCAATAATTGTTTTTAATTTAAAAATTTTAAATTTCATTTATTGTTCATGTGTGTAAGAGAGAAAGAGAACAAACTGTCATTCAAACTCAGCCATGAAGCATGATCAGCAAAGTGTTTTCACCTGCTGGCCAATATGGTGGAAAGAACGTATATAAGTGTTCTTTACCAGAGCCCTTTCTTCATCTATTTTTAATTTTTGATAGTTTTGATTATTAATCTGGTGTAGAATAAACTGACACTTGACATGAATAGTTCACACATTGATTAAGATGAGATGAAGAAGTACTCTTAAGAATGTAAGTGTATGGAAACAGGTTTGCTATAGCACCTTATTGACTTTGCATCAACCTATACAGCAAGGTGGAAGCATATCAGAGTCTTAGTGTACCTTGTGATTCTCCAGGAACACTGGAGAAAAAGAGGGCTCTTAGGAGCTAATGTGGGGCATCTCTCACTAACCTTTCCATCTTATCTTCTAAGTGTGTCATGAGATAAGTTCTCCCATGTTCTAAGTTATGATGATGTCCAGACCCTTTTAGAATAGAACCACAGAATTTAAAACTGCTTAGCTTCACAGAGTGTAAGCTTAGATCCTTAAGAACTAGTAGGAAGTCAGGCAGCCAGCCTCTTGTCCGGCACTGTCATTTTCTATGGGTGGGTCAAGGATCTAGGCCGTTTACTATAGAGCCATTTTTTCTGTTGTCTAAGAAGTAAACTGTCTAAATCTAATACATTATCCAAATCATATCGTGGCTCACTGTATCTTTACTGAAAGAATAGTGCAGCATTGGCCTTAGTTGTATTTGTTCAGTTGGTAGTAAGCTAGCTTCCTTCCTTTTTTGGTAAACACAGGAGAGTCACTTTGTAGGCGGGAAAACTCAAGTCTTCTTAGGGCTAATATTAACACTGATAATAAGTAACATCTAATCATTTTTGGGTACTTATATGCCAGCAACAGAAAGACATTCCTCCCCTTTTAATAACTGTTCTGCTGTGCTGTGCACATGAGAAGACTGAGACTTTCAGATGACCTTCACAGGATCATAGAGCTATTAAACAGTTTAGACAATATAATAACCCAAGCAGTCTGATTCTAGAGCTATGTCTCTTAAAATTATATTGTGCTCATCTAGATCTGTGTAATATATATCACACATGTGCTGATATATATTGTGTGTACATGTATTATTTACAAGTTATATTGTATTATACATTTATAACACATGTACCACAGATCCTAGACTGAATTTCTTATCTAATACTAAATGGTAGTACAACATAGAGGGCTAAATACCACTCAGGTAAACAACTAAAAAAAATTCATGAATATAAAGTTAACGAAATTGTCAGCCGGGTATTGGTGGCACACACCTTTAATCCCAGCACTCAGGAGGCAGAGGCAGGTGGGTCTCTGAGTTCGAGGCCAGCCTGGTCTACAAGAGCTAGTTCCAGGATAGGCTCCAAAGCTACACAGGGAAACCCTGTCTCGAAAAACCAAAATTAATAAATAAATAGATAAATAAACAAACAAATAAATAAAAAGTCAATGAGATTGTCAAGACCTTACTCATCAATGCTATTGTAAGCATTTCATATGTATAAATTCATCTAATTCTCAAATCAACCCTTACTATAATTGAGCAGCTTTTATCCCTTGGCTTGCCACATAACCCTGTTTTCCTTTTCTCTAGACTCAGTACACTCAGTACTATTAGTCATTCAACATGATCTAAATTCTTCTCTTCAGGGGTATTATGGTTTGTTTCAATTCCCTTTAGGATAATGCCTACAGACTATGCACCTGATGTGAACTGACATTTCCAGAACAAAGTGAAAGTCTCCTTTCTGATATTCCGTGCATTATAGTTCTGTTAATAAAGCTTAAACCCACATCAGATTAGGGTATTAAAGTGGTACTGAAACTAAAATCCCTAAACTGTCTAAACATCCCTCACATTAGTTACTTCTCTCCTTTATGCTTGTGCCAGTGTTTTGGAATGTTTATATTTTATACCTATCAAAATATATGTTAAATGTCAGGTCTTTTAGGGTTCTTAATTTGTTGTTCATTGGTTTTGCTGCCCTCCATGGTCACTTCATCATCACTATAAAGGGAAAGGGCAGAGCCAGAGTGTGGTCATGATTCTACAGTACACCACTGGATTCCTCCCTCCAGGCCCCATTCTTTTAGTAGTATTTACCTACCTGGACTAAATTATAATTTTAGATTTGTTTTCAAAAACCTTGAGAGGCATTATAGAATTCTTTACTAGCCTCTAAACAAACAAACGACAACAAAAAAACCAACTCACTTTTTAGATGGAAAACTCTAAGCTCGTGGTGAGAAGAAGCAATGTCTTTAACGTGCCTTATCATTCCCAGCTCATTTAGACTAGACTTAATCCATTTAAGGTAATAAATCACATCATTGCTAATTTTAGAGAGGTATCTGGAGTTAAGATGAGTCTTCTCAGACTGTTTATAAAATTTAGTCTTGCTTTTAAGATTAGTGTCCAACCCTGTATCTGGTCTTACTTAGTTCAGAATCTCATTTGTAGGTCTTTGTAACTATCTTGGAATGTGATTGTTTAGTCTGGGAGAAATATATTCTTATAAAGTGTCTAGTTCTTCCTTTTCTATCTTTCTTGTTTCCATTGGCATTGTTGATTGTTCACTGTCCACTATCCAGCCCGAATACAGTTCTCCTTGTTAAATCAGACAAATGGCGGGAGGGGGGTTACAAGTCTACACATATAGAATTAAGTCAATTGCTTGTAAAGGAATAGACTTTTAGAGAAATTTAATATTAACCTAGACTTTTGAAAATTTGTATTGAGGAAAGGAGCATGAAAAAGGGAAGATTATAGACAATAGTTAGCACTTACTATGAAAGTATTTGGGAGTTAGTACATTATATAGAGAACTGTAACCCTAATAATCACACGAGCATTATTGGAGTGAAAGGCTGCTGTTGGAAAGAATATAAATTAGTGAGCATTGAGTCTATAAGAAGAGACAATTTAATAAACTGGAATTACATGTGCTATAAATCCTTATATGGAACTTTATGCTTTGCAAAGTTGCTGTCAAACGGTATTGAGAAAATAGCAAATGTCTAGTGTTTCAAAACTACTTTAGCTGTAAGCAACTTTTTCTCCATATGTTTGTATTTTATTGTAGTAATAGCTGAGTCTTTAATGAAAATAATCAATGAAAAATTTAGTTTGTGTCTGAAAGTCCTTAAGGCTTTTAGTTCTCCACTTCCTAATATCTATAACTAAGGAGTTGCATTAAATGACAGCTAAATTCCTTCTATCTCTATAAGTCTCCTGTTTTAGTGTTCATTGTTTAAACCCAGCAAAGTGGCGAATAAACAAGTCTGACTTGGGCTCTTGGGACACAGATTCACACTGGCATGGGTATTTTGAAATAACTGTCTGTGTCTTTTAATTTCTGTAGATGGACCACACATCCCCGACCTACATGCTTGCTAACTTAACCCACTTACATTCAGAACAACTTCTGCAGGGCTTGAATCTCCTTCGTCAGCATCACGAACTCTGTGACATCGTTCTTCGAGTAGGTGATGTTAAAATTCATGCTCACAAAGTGGTACTTGCCAGCATCAGCCCATACTTTAAAGCTATGTTCACTGGCAACCTTTCTGAGAAAGAGAACAGTGAGGTTGAGTTTCAGTGCATTGATGAAGCTGCACTGCAGGCCATTGTGGAGTATGCCTATACGGGAACCGTTTTCATTTCTCAGGATACGGTTGAATCTCTCCTGCCAGCAGCAAACCTACTCCAGATAAAACTTGTCCTGAAAGAATGTTGTGCATTTCTTGAAAGCCAGCTTGACCCTGGTAACTGTATTGGAATTTCCCGTTTTGCAGAGACGTATGGTTGTCATGACCTTTATTTGGCAGCTACTAAATACATATGCCAGAATTTTGAATCTGTTTGCCAGACAGAAGAGTTTTTTGAGCTTACGCACGCTGATTTGGATGAAATTGTCTCCAATGATTGCTTGAATGTAGCTACTGAAGAGACAGTTTTTTATGCCTTAGAGTCTTGGATCAAGTATGATGTACAAGAACGCCAGAAATACTTAGCACAGCTGCTGAACAGTGTACGATTACCATTGCTGAGTGTTAAGTTCCTCACTCGGCTCTATGAAGCAAATCATCTTATCCGTGATGATCGTACTTGTAAACATCTCTTGAATGAAGCACTAAAGTACCACTTCATGCCTGAACATAGACTGTCTCATCAGACCGTCTTGATAACACGACCTCGTTGTGCTCCCAAAGTATTGTGTGCAGTAGGAGGAAAATCTGGACTCTTTGCCTGTTTGGATAGGTAAATAAATGGGTTTTTTAAAGGAGTAATGCTAACAGATACTGTGCCTTTTAAATGTGCTAATTTTCTATATTTAAAAAATAATTTTATTTTCCTTTTACTTGCTATTTTGGTGTTCTTTCTCTTATTTCCTAAAATATTTATGAGAGTATTTTAATCATATTTCCATACATTCTCTATTATACTCAGTTGTTAGTCCTTCTCACCCCAAGTGTGTACATTTATCTAACCTGGTTTTATACTAATTTTTCTAATGTTTCATTATTTCTGCTTCCTTCTCCTCCTCTTCCTCCCCTCTTCCCTTTCCTTACTCTTCTCCCTCTCCTCCTCCTCTTCCTTCTGACAATGTGCTAAAGAAGAGAGCTAGGAACCTGTGATGAGGGCAGACTGAGGACAGGAGTGGGTTTGGATGGAAACAATTAATTAGAAAATCAAGGAAATGAGAAAATAAACTACCATAAATAATAACTTTCATGTGAAAATTTTTTTTCATTGTGCTTTTTACAATTGTAAAAAGTTCTTTTTATTTTCCTAATATTTTACAATCAAGATTGACAGTCTGTTTCTGTAAAGAGCCAAATGGAAAATATTTCAGACTACTGGTGGGCCCTCTTGTCTTTGTTGCATCTACTTAATTCCACCTTTGTGGGATGAGAGCAACCATAGGCATGATTAAGCATGGATGTGTTCCAATAAAACTTTATTTGTAAAAGCAGATGGACTGAATTTTAGGTCATGGCTGTGTAACTTGCCCAGCCTTGATTAAGTTCTGTATGCAAGTCATCCTTCAACACTGACAATCTAGCTTGAGGTTCTTTGTCTTTCATTTCATAGAGATCAGTGCATGAAAATGGTCATGTTTGATACATTCTTTTAATACTGTGGATATCTTTCTGGCCATTTCCAAAACTCTGGTAAACTTTTTTCTTTTTCTAGTTAGAGGAAACTTGATCAATGGCATTTCATATATTATAAATATTTAAACAAATTTCACTATCCATTTCCTTTATAGCCTAGAAATACTGTTATTAAGATCGGGCTACAAGTAGAGTATTTTCTGCAGTAATCACACATGTTGATTGTTTGACTTGTGCTTAAAAGAATGGAATATTGGCATGAACTGAATAACTGACATCATGACAAAATTCCAAATATGAATACATATTGAAAAAAATCCTTGTGTAATTGCCTCTTGGTTTCTCAAATATTAACAACAATGAACTTGTCATTGAAAATCAGAAAAATGTTCTTACATTCATATCTAGTAGTCTTTTCCTCATTGAGCCTATCATAGTAAAATTTAAAGTATTATTTTCATGAAGATGTTTATTGCAGCATTATTAACAACTTGGAAAAATTAGAGCCAACCTAATGATCATTCAGTTAAATTCTATACCAAAGAATGCCAGATTAAAGGGCCTTCAATAAATTCATAATTTATTAAAGGGCCAGATATTTCATATAGTATGTTAATGCAATGATAAAAATAATTTTGTGCAATGATTAAGGAGGAGTATTCCATTTGGACGACTTAGTGAAGATTTTGTATGGAAGTTAGTGTCTAAGGTAAGTATTAAAAGGAAAACAAGAGTCAAGCAGAGAAGGGGACGATGAGGTAATGTGCAGAGATAATGGCATGGTATAGTGTAGTTCATAAACAAAAATAAAAACTGTTTGATAATGAAAAATAAAAAGTTCTGATTGACTAGTGAAACAGTTGTCAATGTGATCCGTATCTGGTATTACTGTATGCCAAGGAGACGATGCTTATATATGTAACAAAAGAGTATTTTAAAGGGTAGTATAATGATCAGACTTACATATCAGATCATTCTGGCTGCATTTTAGAGGAACACAGAAGAACCAGGATTAGCCTCTGAGTGGGTAGATGAGGTGCTATTGTAGAAGTACAGGCAAGGGGAGCCAGAGATAAAGCCTAGTGGTTTAGAGTATTGGCTGCTCTTGCAGAGCCCAGCACCCTTTGGCACTCACAAATATCTGTAACTCCAATTCCAGGAGATCTGACACCCTCTTCTAGACACCTTCTTCTGGCCCCTGTAGGCACCAGGCATGCAAGTATACACATTAAACAAAAATAAATATCTTAACAACAACAACAACAACGGGCAAGGGAATATGGGAGTTTAAGAAATTTTTCGAGAAAGTAAATTGATGGAATTTGGTTTTTAGATGGATAGAGGAGGATGCTGAAGGAGAGGGAGAAAGCAAATATGGATGAGATTTTGTAATGAATAATGGATTGAAGGGTTACTACCAAGAAGGACCCACATTAAGGGACTAGTGTGCTCAAGTTTCAGACATATGGAGATTAAGTACCTATTAAATATCCAAGTAAAAAGTGTCCTATTGCTTACTGAATGTGAATGCATGTATCAGTGGTCTCACAACAGAACTGAAAAGTAAAATTAAGCTATGAAGTCTTTGATGAACTCTGTTATCAGCATAAATGTCCCCCCCCTTTTTTTTGTCCAGTAAGGACATAAATAAAGGAAAAATGATTGATTAATGAATGTCAATCCAGAAACATTTTAGGGATAGAAAACCAAGAGTAAATATTGTCATGGACTCCAAGGAATTTAAGTTTGTCTAGAAGGAAGGAAATGTTCAACAGATTAAAGTGTGAAGAAAAGGTCCAGAAAGACAAAGATAGTAACTGTTATATGTGGTAGTATAAAGACCATTAATGACTTCCAATGAAATTGTAGAAATGCTGTAGATACTTTATACCATGTTGAGAATGAATGAAAAAGGTGAAAGTGAAGACAGCAGTGGGTGGTTGGAAAGGTTTGATTTTGTTATTTTTTGTCCTTGAATAGAAACATCTGAGTGTATTTGAAAGAAGATGCCAAAATAAAGAGGGGAGCAGGCTGAAGACCAAGCAGGTCTCTGACCTGGTTTTTTCATGCCAGCTTATTTCAGTACATGTACTCTGTTACAGTTTGAATGTGTTCCCAAAATGTGCATGTTGAAACTAAATCCTCCATGCAACATTTCCTGAAAGGTGGAACCTTCAAGAAGTGGTTAGAGCATGGGCATGTGCTGTCATGAGTGGATTAAGAGCTTTTCCTAACAAGAGAGGACTTTGGCTCCTTTGGTCCCCCTTTTGTGTGTTTCTAATAGCTTCTTCTACGTTATGATGTAGTAAAATACCCTGGTCAGAGACAGACCCTTGATCTTGGACCTGCATTAGGTACCATGACCCAAATAAACTTCTGTTGTTTATAATATACCCAATCAATAATTTTCTGTTATGGCAGAAAACAGACAGAAAAATTGGTACAAAGAAACAAGACTGTTGCTGTAACAAAAACTTGGAAATGTGGAAGCATTTTGGAAGCTGGATAATGGGTACATGTTGTTCGGATTTGGACAATTTTACTAGGTTTTCTTGAATTGAATATTAAATACAGTTCTAGATTAACAAAGAGGAAGCAGTCTGAATCTTCTGAGACCTTACCTGTGACAGTACATGACCAGCATATTGGGAGAAGTATGGGTGGTAAAGGGCTGTTGTGATGTAGCCTTAGACAGACACAAAGGACATGGACTTGGAACTTGGAGGAAATGCCACCCTTGTTACATAATTGCAAAGAACTTGTTAAAAGTTTGCAAAGAACGCAAATAATATGGTACATGAGCAGTAAGCTAGGTTACTTGGCAAAAGAATTTCTAAGCAGCAGTTTTTCTGTGTGACTGTTTTTACTTAAGATGTGAAAGAAATGACCTAAAGATAGAATTTATAATTTAATGAGAGCTAGAGTGGAAAAGTTGAGAAATTCACAGCCTTTGCATGCCAAGGGTTGAAAAGGTTTGCTTAAGAGCAAACGAAAGATGTGGCTGTGTGAATCCCACAGACCAATGAGACCGGCATGGATATAAGGAAGTCAGAAACTGCCATCAGGAGAGGAAGAGAGACTGGCAGCATTTGATAGACTTTGTGGATGTTCTTCTTACCACAGGGCCACAGCTCTAGGTGGGCAGAGCAGTTTTAGGCATAGGCCCAGGCCGCCCTCCACAGGTCTGCAAATTAAAGGCACCTCAGGACTCTGGGCACAGCATTTAGCATAGCATTCTGACTGCTCCAGCTCTTGTTCAAGCAGGCCCAGCTGCAGCTTGACCCAGCAGAGATTCAAAACACAATCACTGTCGGCTTATCTACACAAGTTTCTAAGAATACATAGAAACAATGGAAGGTCTAGGCAGCAGTTTATGGTAGAGATAGAACTGCAGAGAGCCTGCTAAGTGCTGAGCAACAAGGAGACTCGAGAACTGTGAGACTATAAGACTTCACATACTGTGAGGTATTGAGTGAACAGAACCCAACAAAACCATATATAGAGTTAAGGCTTCCTCAGGCCTACGCCTACATCCTGTCACACTATGCTCAGCCTATGGAGTCAAAGGAGATTGCTCTCTGGTGATTTCTAAGTCACAGGACAGATGTTTACTACATCTTATTTAGCATTTTCTTTTTGATGAATTATTGTCTTGTGCTCCATTGAGCATTTCTGGATATGTTGCCCACTACAAAATTGGCTATAGTGGATATTCAATAGAGAAGACACATTAAGTATGAAATTCTAAGTCAAGGTCTATATTTTCAAATTTGTTAGATAAAATTGTTTTCCAGAATAGTTTGTACCAGTTTACATTCTTAGCCATAGTGTGTTCATGTTTGCACAACACTCTTGCCAGTGGTTATTTTCTGGCTGTACTTTAAGCAATCTGGAAGGTGCATCATGATTTATTGTAGTTTTGATTTGCATGACCTTGATTACTAATGCAAGTCTTGTTGATGGGCCATTTCAGGTTTTTAATCTATTATTTTTCTGCTTATTCATTAGTGTGGAGATGTACTTTCCTCAGAATGACTCTTGGATTGGTCTGGCGCCCCTCAATATTCCTCGATATGAATTTGGAATCTGTGTTTTAGACCAAAAAGTCTATGTTATAGGTGGTATTGAAACTAGTGTGCGTCCTGGTGTCACTGTCAGAAAACATGAAAATTCAGTGGAGTGTTGGAATCCTGATACAAATACGTGGACTTCTCTAGAGAGAATGAACGAGAGCCGAAGTACTCTTGGAGTAGTAGTGCTTGCAGGAGAACTTTATGCTTTAGGTGGATATGATGGACAGTCTTACTTGCAATCTGTAGAGAAATATATCCCCAAAATCAGACAGTGGCAGCCTGTGGCCCCAATGACCACCACAAGAAGTTGTTTTGCTGCAGCTGTTCTGGATGGAATGATTTATGCCATTGGAGGGTATGGCCCTGCTCACATGAACAGGTATTTAACATGATAATTGAATTGCTTATGTTTGCAGGAAGCACAATTTATAGTCATTTTGAATTTTAAATAATTTGTTTGTATAGGTGGGCTTTTTAATATGCTTAAGTGATATTGACAGGCATTTAAGAATTTAGATTGTTCTAAGTATAATTGTTTTTTATCACTGAGATTCAAATCTCTCCTATTAAATTTTATATTCATCTAATATAGTGAACTATATTTTAGAGCTCAGAAACCTAAGACAAATGAGACAAATTTAGATTTTTATATGATGCAGCTATGTGTATATCTGTGTGTATGCATGATCTTTTCTTACATTACTTAATAGAATAAAATAGAAGTGTAACTCATGTACTCCAGTACATTATAAAACATCATAAAATTAAAATCTTAGATCATTAAGATTGCTCAGTGGGCCGGGCGTTGGTGGTGCACACCTTTAATCCCAACACTCGGGAGGCAGAGGCAGGCGGATCTCTGTGAGTTCGAGGCCAGACTGGTCTCCAGAGCGAGTGCCAGGATAGGCTCCAAAGCTACACAGAGAAACCCTGTCTCAGAAAAAAAATAAATAAATAAAAGATTGCTCAGTGGGTAAATGTGCATGCTGTACCAGCCTGGCAAACTTGAGTTTACTCTTTAGGCCCTATGATAGAAGGAAAGAGCCACTTCTCAAGTGCTTCTCTCTTTTTTACAGTATAGTTACAGCCATGTTTATGTATGTATATTATTTAGGTGTGTATGTATAATATATGTAAAATATTATGTATAATAATTTTTATTATTTATTATGTATGCAATGCATATCTGCACATCAGAAGAGGGAACCAGATCTCATAACAAATGGTTGTGAGCCACCATGTGGTTGCTGGGAATTGAACTCAGGACCTCTGGAAGAGTCTTAACCTCTGAGGTATCTCTCCAGCCCCTGTATAATAATTTTTTAAAGAAGCAGCTTTTAAAATTAAAATCTTTTATGTTCTACGGTCATACTAGACATGTCATCACACTACTAGAGTGAGAATGAGAGATTTCTGTATTTTGTAGTTTATTCTTGGAATAAAGAAGAAATATAGGCAAGAAAAGGTAAAGTTTACAAGATTGTATGTACTGTGAATCATAGTTCTAAACCTTAGTTAAAAACTGATCTAGCTGGGCGGTGGTGGAGCATGACTTTAATCCCAGCACTTAGGAGGCAGAGGCAGGGGGATCTCTGAGTTCGAGACCAGCCTGGTCTACAAGAGCTAGTTCCAGGACAGCCTCCAAAGCCACAGAGAACCCTGTCTGGAAAAACCAAAAAAACAAAACCCAAAAACTGATGTTCTAAAGAATTTTATCTCTTGGAGTGGTATTTTACTCATTGCAAGCAATCTAATGAAAAAGTTTTCTGCTTATATATACACTATATCACCACTTTGTATGGGGGATGGGGGCATCCATGAAATTGGTCCTTCAACCAGTCCCTCATGGGTATCTTATCTAACTATATACAAGAATAACATGCAGCTATTGTTGTTTCCTGTCCACAAAATAAACTTTTGTACCTGAAAACAGATACATCAACATTTGGGACAAATTACTGTTATTTTTATCTATTTACTTAGTTTTAGTTTTGCTTTGGCAGAAAGAATAGCAAAATGACCTATGAATTAATTTCTTCCTCATGTAAATACTTGCAGTGTGGAGCGTTACGATCCAAGTAAGGATTCCTGGGAGATGGTTGCATCCATGGCTGATAAAAGGATTCACTTTGGTGTCGGAGTTATGCTAGGTTTTATTTTTGTGGTAGGTGGGCATAATGGTGTCTCCCATTTGTCAAGCATTGAAAGATATGACCCTCATCAAAACCAATGGACAGTGTGTAGACCAATGAAAGAGCCCAGGACAGGTAATACTTATTTATTTCTTCTTTTGTTTGTTTGCTTGTTTTGTGGTACTGGGGATTGAAACCTGGACTTATGCATGTAAATATTCTGTAAATATTCTAGAATTAAACTACATCTTGAGGTGTTCACTAATTAAACTCAGCATCCATGGCTATGCTTTATATAGTGATATTCTTATAATACTATCATCTTGGACCTTAACAGTAAAGATATTATTTTATCAGAAAAAATATTGTGTAATTGTGTGTGTGTGTGTGTGTGTGTGTGTGTGTGTGTGTGAGAGAGAGAGAGAGAGAGAGAGAGAGAGAGATACAAAATGAAAGAGGGCGAAAGAGAGCAGCAGGTACACAGTGTGGTGCATGTTTGTGGAGGTCAAAGAAACATTTTACAGGAGTTGGTTCTCTGCTACCTTGTTTTGAGGGAGGGTCACTTTAAATTTCATGTTGCTGTGCTACATACTGGCCTGTAATCTTTCTGCCATTTCTCCTGACTCCATCTGCCTCCCACAATAAGCTTGAGTTTACAGGTATCTTTCTTACATGCTGACTTTCTTTCCTTTGGGTGTATACCAAGCAGTGGGATGGCTGGATGCTGTAGGAGTTCTGTTTGGGGTATTGTGGGAAATTCCATACAGATTTCAGTCATAGATGGAACGATTTACACTTTTACCAATGGTCTGTCAGTTCCTATCCCATGTGTCCTCTCTGGCACATGCTGTTTCCTTGAATATTAGCCATTCTCACTGGTGTAAGATGGAATCTCAAGACACTTGTGATCCACAGTACTTTCATAACTGAGGACTGTTGAACATTTTTTCATGTGCTTAGGATTTGTACTTTCAAGAATTCTCTAGTTTGTTTACTCATTTACTAACTGAGTTATTTGGATTTTTGTTAGAGTCATGTATATATTCTGAATACTAGTTCCTTCCTTATTAGATACATATCTAGCCTAGCATGTCTTCTGGGTTGTAGGCTGCTATTTCACTGGTAGTGGTTCCCTTTGCTGTCCAATCTTATTTTATCATTTACTGTTTGCTGAGCTGCTGCAGTCCTGATTAGAGAGTTGTTATCTAATGCCTCTCTGGCTTGAGCCATTTTCTATTCATTTTCTTCTTGTAGTTCAAAATTTCAGATCATACATTAAGGTTTTTGATCTATTTTGAATGGATTTTTGTACAGGGTGAAAACTGGCATCTAGTATTATTCTTCTACATGCAGATTTCTAATTGTCCCAGCACCTTTTGTTAAAAAAAAACTGTCTTTTTTCCAGTGTGTGTTTTTGTTCTGTTGTTATGGTGGCTATAGCTGTGGGAATTTATTTCTATCCTGTTGACCTACATGTGTTTTTTTGTTTTTGCCAAACCATATATTTTTATTTGGGAATCAAGACCATTAATATTTAGAGTTATTATTAAGAGGTGTGTATTCAGAGTATACAGAAGATTTAGTTACTATATAGTTGGTATATGTCAGTAAGTAAGTAGGGACAATTAAAGTGTATTAGAGGTGGGGGTCGGGAAATGGTTCAGCAGTTAAGAGCACATGTTGGCTCTTCTAGAGGACCTGTATTCAACTCTCAGCACCCACGTGGTGGCTCACACTCATCTGTAACTCCAGTTTGATGCATCTGATGCTCTCTTCTGACCTCCACAGGCATCAGACACACATGTGGTACACAAACATGTATGTTGACCAATATTTACATGCATAAAATAATATTTAATTAAAAAGGAAAATGTGTTGTTAGAGATTAAAAAAAAAGAAGTGTGTATTAATTCCTGTCATTTTGGTAGTTCTGCATCCTCTTGAGTGTGCTTACCCTGTCCTCAGATTGAAGTATTTCTTCTAGGACCATCTGTGATATGTCCTGGAGAACTTATTTTCTGCTCTTATCTACTTGGTGTTCCATAGATCTCTTATACCTGGATAATCATAAGTTGGGGGAAATTTCTTCTTCTTTGATTTTATTTTCCTGGAGGTATTTTCTACGCTTCACTATCTTCTTTCTGTATCCTCTTTGGATTCCTTAAACATATTAATCATTTCTGCTTTGAAAACCTTGTCTTATGCACCAACTAAGTTTCTTTTTTCAAGGAGCATTACAATTAGGGGTGCTAATTTATAGAGACATATTGTATTCATTGTCCATACAGTTTATGGGGTCTAGGCATCTAGAGTTCAGTCGTTACTGGTGGGTTTTGTTTTTGTTTTTGGTCTCAGATATACCTATACATACAACATACATATACACTAAAAATAATAGGGAGAGTGCAAAGTAAATAGAGACAGGCCATCCAGAAAAAAAGAGAGGAAGGAGACAGAGAGACACAGAGAAGAAAGGGAGGGAAAGAGGAAAACTATCAGTATCTCTTCAAAGGAGCGCGCACGCGCGCGCGCGCGCGCGCGCGCGCGCACACACACACACACACACACCACATACACTACACATACTACACAGAAACCATATACACCATACATGCCTCACACATATACATATACTGCACACCACATACAGCACATATGCATACATACACACACACATCACTTACACCACACACCCCCCCACACACACACACACTCACAGACACATGCATATATACACATATTTCACACATACAACACACACTCTTGTTGTTTTCTAGATTTGGTATGCAAGTCAGTTTTTCCCTATAGAGTCCCTACAGTTTAGATTACAAAGGGCTGTTTGCAGTCTGAGTCCTGTCAGAGTTTGTATGGTGTGTAAGCCTGTTAATGTGGAATTGCTGGCTCAACCCTCTGAAATTGCTCCCACCAGATGAATCTAGGACACAACCTGGATGTGATTCCTCCTATCAGAGGCACTCTGCCTGTGTGGGTTTAGCGTCGTCCTCTGGGAATGTCCAAATCATTCAAGTCTGTGCCGTTGCTGGTTGCAATAGAGAAATCACAGGGCTGTGGTTGATCCTGTGCACCAGGGTTTTGCAATTCCTTACTGTAGCCGTCTGTTTCATACCCATCCAGCGTTTCCTCAGACTCTTAAGGATGTCTAAAAGTACTGTGTGTCTACTCTGCCATCTCTCCTGTCCCCTTCTCCCAGCTGTTCTGTTTGTTTTGTAATCAGTATCTTTGTGTTTATTATCAAATATTCTTTTATTCTTTCCTCTGCAAGTAGAATAGTTCAGTCAAAAAAGGACTGGATTTTAGGGTTTCTAGAGAAAAAAGAAAAATACATCCTTAGGTATAAGGAGAAATTATTATTTTTGAACCCAAACTCAAATGACATTATTTAAAGAGCAATTTTAAATGATGAAAATGCTTTAGAAATTTTTTATTATTATTTTATTTCTTTATTGGATTTTTGAGACTGGCTTTCTCTGTGTTGCCCTGGCTGTCCCAAACTCTCTCTGTAGACCAGACTGACCTCAAACTCAGAAATCTGCCTGTCTCGGCTTCCCAAGTGCTGAGATTAAAGCCATGTGCCACCACTACCTGGTGAGTGTTCTTATTTTTATGATTGAAGAAACTCCAGAATCATAAGAACTCAAGAGAAATTAAAAGCACAAAATACAATGAACTATTTAACCATACTAGTTTCCTGGGCACACTTAATAGGGAAACCCATAAAAACATGAGAATGCTTTAAATGTGGATAGACTTACTGTTTTTGAACTACAGGTGGTAATATCTAAGAGAGAATTCTTTTTTGGGGGGGTGAGACAGGGTTTCTCTGTATTTCTTTGGAGCCTGTCCTGGGACTTGCTCTGTAGCCAGGCTGGCTTTGAACTCACAGAGATCCACCTGCCTCTGCCTCCCAAGTGCTGGGATTAAAGGCGTGCACCACCAATGCCTGGCCTCTAAGAGAGGATTTTTTTTCTTTTCTGTTTAATTTTTTTTGTTTTATTTTATTTATTATGTAGACAGTCTTCTGCCTGCATGCCAGCAATGGGCACCAGATCTCATTTAAGTTGGTTGTTGGGAATTGAACTCAGGACCTCTGGAAGAACAGTCTGTGTTTAACCGCTGAGCTATCTCTCCAGCCCAAGAGAGAATTTTTAAGACATAATCTACATAGTATGATATATTTGAAAACCTTATCAAATTTATAGAAAGACATGCAAATATACATTATAAATATACTGCTTTCTTCCTAGTACTTTAAGAATGCATGCCAGCTTGAAGTCAGCCTGGTCTACAGAGCAAGTGCAAGGATGGGCTCTAAAGCAATACAGAGAAACCCTGTCTCGAAAAACCAAAAAAAAAAAAAAAAAAAAAAAAAATGTGTGCCAGCACTTGGGAGACAGAGGCAGGCAGATCTCTGTGAGTTTGAAGCCAGCCTGGACTATAATGTGAGTTCCGGGACAGCCAGAACTACACAGAGAAAACCTGTCTCAAAAAAACAAAAAGTATGCTAGTTACCTTGATCTGATCATTGTACATTCTATGCATGCACTGAAATGTGGCACTGTACCCTGTGAGCAAGTCCAAATTACTGTGTGTCAAAACTAAAAGCATATTTTGAAAGTACTTTCCTGTAGTAGGGAGGGAGGAAGAGTAGAATAAAGAGCAGAGGTGACGGCAATGACTGCTTTGCTAAGAGGTTTTTGTTCATTCTGTTTTCTCTAGTAAGCCTATATTGCTTGTACAATTATAGTAGGTTGCTGAAATGAATTATTTTGAAAATGCACTAAAATATGAATTATTTTATTCTCAGTGAGACATAGTCTACTTCATAATTAACCTGTTTGCTCTCTTCTCCCCCACCTGCCTTAGGAGTTGGTGCTGCAGTAGTTGACAACTACCTTTATGTAGTCGGTGGTCACTCAGGGTCTTCCTATTTGAACACAGTACAGAAATACGACCCTATCTCAGATACATGGCTGGACTCAGCTGGCATGATATACTGTCGCTGCAATTTTGGATTAACTGCACTATGAGAAGTGTGAAGTCGTGGAAATCGCACGTGGTGGGGCCATAGGAAAGAATGCCCAGTGTCCTGAACCTGAAAGCTGCATTGCTTTGTTTAACTTGAAGTGGCATGAAGACTCAAAGTCTTGTTGGGTACTCTGAACTGACAAATAGTTTGAATCGCTCTTGATTTTACAGTGAATCAATAATTAAAAAAAAAGAAAAGAAAAAAGAAAGGAAAAAAAAAAAGGAAAGACCTAATCAATTGAATTGTGCACTTTTCTCCACTAAGACTGGGATAGATTAGTTTTTATATTCCTAAATGTAGAGAAAACCTTGCTGCTTTTTAATTTTGTTTTAAATAATTTAAGCTCTTCTTTCTTGATCTATATCATGATTTAATAGGATGAGAGAAGCTTCCAATCTGGAGTGCATCGAATGACTGGACAGAATGTGGATAGTGATTGTTGGTTGCAAATTCATATACTTCATGTTGTTTTTTTTTAAAAAGGGCTGCTTTTACTTTGGGTACTTTCAAGGATTGTAAATAACATGTCAGTCACCTGAGGGCTCTTTCTGCTAAATGATTTTAGGGCTACTAGTGTGATGAGGTTGCAAAACAATGGCTTTTATTATCCTATTTGGGGCTCTGTTTTAAGATGTGACATTTGTTTATGCTTTTTCTACATGGGCTAGATGGCCTCATCTGTGCTTTGGTAAGCATGGATAGAAAACTAATCGTGTCAGTTTCAGTTGTTCTTTGGTGTTACACAGCAGGCTTCTGATGGTTAATGTAAATATATTTGAAAGCTCTTTGGTACCACCCTTGATGCATATTGGTTTTTCATATATTCTTAATTTTAGTTTTTTAAGGTCTTAATTTTTTTTCAGTGTTCAAATATTAAAATGGTGCTAAATGTAGGATGTATAACAAAGCTATAACCAATGTTATTTGGGTGTTCAATGTGAGATGCATGATGTACTATAATAATCTTTCATTTTTACTGGCTTGATTTTATTTGTGCTTATGGAAAATGTTAGTGATTGCATTAATGTTAACATCTAAAATCATCTGAATGGCTTGAGTTATACTTCCCATGGTTTTTGAATGGTGACTTAAAGAGTGATGCTGTTTCATTGTTACTATTTTCTTCTTGTTCTAGAAATTACATGTCCAAACACATGCACCAACTGAACACAACATGCTAGGCAGGTGTGTGTTACTTTGTTCATTTCTTAGGTAACTGAGTATTTTTAACTTATGGAGGAAAACTGGAACTCGATGTTTACTTGAATAAATGGTTCTAAATTAGGTTCTGCTTTGATTAAAGAAACTATCTTTCAAAACTGTTTGTTACAGCCACTGACAGCTTATTTTAAAAAAATAGTTAACTTATTTTAGCATGGTTTAATAAATATCTGTTAGTCTTAAACACATTAACTTGCATTTTATTACTGTTGGTACTTGCATTTTCATATTAGTAATTTTTCTCATTTATTTTTTTCTTTTTTTACCTACCTACACTCTCTTTCTCTTTATAACGTCTATAAGACCAGTGAATATTTTTTCCTAAGAAAAGAACTCATCCTTCATTCTTAAGTGCCATACTACTCTATCGTTAAGAAGCCATTTGTAATTATAAAGCCTAGCTTTACCTGTTCGCATATATGTTACTGCCCAAAAACTATAGCTGGGCAATTTGTAGTTTTTCTTGTTCTTCCATAAACTACCCATTGTAGATTTGAGGATATACTATGAAGCTATGTAAAATCATCTTTAGTCATAAAGTAACAACACCATGCTCTACAAATATTTGCACAGATTATGAAGCCTTGCAAGTAATTTTTAGTCTCTTTTAACCTAGAACTCAACAGGAGCTAATAAAATCAACTAAGTATTTTCTGTGTCGCTTATTTGAATATCATAGTGACACATAGCAATAACTTTTTCATTGATTTGAATAAATCTGTTGAATAGTAATAAGGTGCACTATTGTGGTTGGTCTAAACCGTATTTAAAGAAAAGAGTTTTAAAGTAGATTCCTGCACATACTCACTTTTAAATCCCCAGCTTAGATGTTTTTGTTTATATCAGTCAAATTATTAAATGTATTTTGTTATGCTACTTTTAATCTCTTCCTCACAAAAGTGAAGTGAATTTGAAAGACTAGAAAGTTATTTTAAATATAAACACATCTTTTCTGAACATTCTATTTCAACAGTGCTTTACTCATATATTGTTTCCAGTATATAGTTCATATAAAATACATAGTCATTTGCTAAGTTAGATCAAAAGTATGTACTATTTTTTTTTTAATTTTAAGTTTTATTTTGCTGAAAAACTAAATGCAAAACATTTTGGGCAACAGTAGGATCATGATCCTGTAAACAAAGTTACAAAAACATACAAAGCAAAAAAAACTTAGCACTTAAAATTTAGAAATACACTGTATTTTAGGAATCCTGTTGTATTGTTCATAGTAACCAGAGCTAAATATGTGTCCTGACACCTGGTAAGTTTACAACAGAGATTTCTCTTCAAATTTGAGAAGTTTCGTATGAATACTGTGCTGGTAAGTTGTGAATGTAAAGCTCCATGTTTCCTATGCAAAAAAAGGGTAAAATGTTAGAGCAAAAATCCCCGGGTTTATGTCTATATACATATATACATTCAATATATATTGGATATATATGTGTATATATATGTTCAATCAAGAACTTGAAGGCAATTTAAGACTGCCCAAAATATTTTGGAAAAGAGTGACAGGGAAACATAATCTAATCAATTGTAATGTCACTTGTCTTCTATAATTATGTCAAAGAATGTGTATGCAGTGTTTGGTTATTTAATATTTATTGTATGTAGTAATAGAACTTAATTGATTTTTTTAAGGTAAACCCAAAGGATATTTGCAAATTTCATATTATTGTTAATATTGTTTTAAATATGAATGAATATCAAATTATAGGATTAGTATCAAATGATAGGAAAATGGAATTTGGTTTTGAAAGGTTTTTATAGTTTGACATATGTGTGAGACACCATATTAGATGCTGTGGTGGCATCTACTGAAATGTAAGTAGGATATATTCTTCACTCAAAAGAGTAAACTACAGTGGAGTTCATTTATTCCAATAATGATTATGAAAATCTATAACCTAATTCCTTATTTCCAAGGTCATAGGAAGTGACTTGAAGCTTAGTTTATATATAAACAAATACTTAGTGTCCAGTTAGATTTTAATGACACAAGCAAGATTTGTCAAAATTGTAGTTTTATTGGAATCCAGTGGGGTCTGGAGAGATGGCTCATTGGTTAAAACTAAGTGCTGACCCAAGATTGGTTTCCAACAAGCAGAGAGGCATACAACTGTTCCATAGCTCCAGCTCCAGCTGATGCCCTTTTCTGGCCTCTTTGGGTATCCACCAACACCACCACAACCACCACCACCACCACCACCACCACACACACACACACACACACACACACATAAATTACTTTTAAATTTTTCCATGTTTCTTAGAATTGGATAGTATATTTCCTACAGGAAAAACAAAACTAGGAAGGGAAACACACAAACCCATTTTCTAGAACATCATGGCTCTGGCTAACATTGAGGAAAATACATGTATATATACATGCTGGATTCTGTTGTTTGCTTTTTGTTTTGTTTTCAGTTGTGGCGTTGGATTCCTGGTATTGTCACCAAAGTGCTCATTTTTAGGAAAATCAAATTCTACAATAAAGTTACTGCTTAAAGTTCAATAAATTTATGATAATCTCTCTAAACTTTCTATCCAGAAAGTTACACAGCTATGGGACATGTCAAGTTAACATCCTGTTCTGCTACTTAACCCTTTCTTTCCCACTGTATACAGCACTTTAATTAGACAAGATTTAATTAGACAATGATTCTGTGGCTGGGAATTTATAGGCTCTTCACTTCCAGTGTGTACTGAATTCAGTGTTGATATTCACATTTGGAAAATAAGTTTAATACATTTTAAATACAAAAGGTTTACAAATCTTACTAGTGTGAATATGGTCAAATAAAACTCTAGTTTACATCTCTGCAGAGAGAAAAATTGTCACCTATGTCTTTCAGAGTACATATCCACATGTCTTCTACTTTTAATTTTGTCAATTTATCATGTGTAAAGTCCCACTTATTTTAAAATACCAAGCAAAAAGTTCCAAGTTTGCCTTAATATACATGTGAAATTAAAGAACTGGATGATAATGCCTATATCTTTGCCTTATGAATTGTGCCGTGTCATGAACCAGAAGATGGCTGTGAGTTTAACAGGATTCTGAAGCATTGTAGATGTGAAGTACCAGTGGGTGTCCTCTGTTGCAGAGTGTGGTTGCTTGTTGGTAAGGTTCATGTTTAAATGTTTTTGTATCTGTATTTTACCTCTGAATAGATACTTTTTAGCATCAGGGTTTTATTTTATTTTTGTTTACATAGTAAATTGGCATTTAACTTGTTGAAGATTGTATCCTTTTTTATTTTAAGAGTTCTTTGTGCATATTATTGTGGTAATGCTCTGTAATGGTTATAGTTATATTTCATTTAATGTGAAGTGTTTAAAATAAAACTGAAAAATGTAAATTGGTATCATGTAATAATGTGAACTAAACTAATCTTTGTTGTGTTTAACTCGTAAGTCACTCTTCTTTTGCATGGTTGGATGGATGGATGGATGGATGGATGGATGGATGGACGGACGGACGGACGGACGGACGCACGGATGCCACAAAAGATAAGGTGCAACAGTTTCACAGTACAAGCCTGTAATGCTAGTGAAGGAGGGTTGGGTGAACTGATTAGCCAGATCTGGAAAGCAGGGATGGAGCAGCCCCTTTAAGAGGACCTGCTGCTTGCTCCAGGGTTGGACTGTTGCCGACTCCTAAGGGCATCTAGAGGAAAAATCCACTGGAGGAGAAAAAAGCCTGCCTAAGGGAGAATACCCTAGCAATGAACCGGGAAAGGGAGGGCCCAGGATCCAGAGCCCACAGCAAACACTTTGGGAGCAGTTCTAATAGCAACTGTAGTTTTTATTCCCCTCTCCTCCTCTGCCTCTCTCACTCTCTCCCTCTGCCCCGTTCTCACCCCTCTTCCCCTTCTTCCTTTCCTCCCATCTCATGCTGCTGCCTCCTCAGTGACTGTGGCATCCACTTTCTTGCCTGGTCACTTTCACTTTCCACCCAGCATCTACTGCTGTCATATCTCTCCAATCTGTCCCTTTAACTTTCTCTGGGTTGGTCTTTTCAGGGTGTACCATTCTTTGTCAGTTCCACAAACCAAACTTGGTGGTACCCTAATATGGAGTCTGGTTTAGTTTGCTTAACATTGTGATCCCTAATGCCATGTTTCCTTGCAAAAGACACTTCATGATTTTTTTTTTCAATGCCTAGCAACCAACTTTAAGGAAGATGTAAATTATGTCAGAAGGGATTTCACGAGAAGGGGAAATTTGTTTACTATTGTTAGTCTATGAACTACTTCAATAAATGGTCCTGACATTCAATATTGTTATCAAAACAATAGCTATGAAGGGACTTCCAGATGGGCCCAGGTTCAATTCCCAGAACCTGCAGTTCCAGAGGATCCTGTTCTGACTTCTGCAGGTACTGCACACATGTAGCACACAGACACGTGCAGCTAAAACATCCTTGCAAAACAAATTTAAAGTCTCATAAACAATAGCTGTCAATGAAATTGTGAAAAACAAAAGTACTTAAAGATGCCTTGTGTAAGGGTTACAGGGGAGCCAAACCACTGAAGCTGCACTGAGGCTACAGAACAAAGCTTTATTGGGGTAAGATCTGAAGGACTGTCTCTGAGAGAAAGGGGCACAGCACTGAGTCAGGAAGGGGGACGGCTCAAGGGGTACTGCTACCAACATGGAAATTGTTATAAACTTTTTCTTTTAGGGGGACTCTGGCAATAACAGGTCTGCAGAGTGTGTAGTTTTTATTTCCCTGAAGGGGCTGACTCCCCTTGGCCAGGGACTTGGGCCAGCCTGACACCTCAATTGTGAGTTATGTGAGTGCCAGCTCACTGTCCTATGCCTGATTTTTTTGTTTGTTTGAAAAAATGTTTTATTAATTTTTTTTTCTGTTGATGCTTTTTTCTCCCCAAACTCCTCTTAGATCCTCTCTATATACCAAGCCATGTTCTCTCTTTAAAAAATGAAAAGCAAACAAAACAAAAAGAACAAGAAACACACAAAAATAGAAACCAGAATGTACAAGCAAAAGACCAATAAAAGAACAAACAAAAAGTCCAAAACAATTTGGGATGAAAAGAACTACAAAAATACCATTGACTTGGTCTTGTGTTGGCCATCTTCTACTGGATATGGTCCTTACACTTAAGTGTGGTTAATATACCCAGTGTATCCACTGGAGAAAACTCATTTTTCCCTTGCAACAAATATCGATTGAAGGTTGCTTCTTGATTAGGTATGGGAGCTTATGTCCATTTCCCCCTGTTAGTGCTGTGACTCTGTCTGCATTGAACCTGTGCAGGCCTTGTGTGTGTTGAGTCAGTTTTCTGTGACTTCATATGTTGGGGGAAATTCAGACTTAATTTTGGAACTTAACAGATACAGCCTAAAGTGTATTGTACATGAAGTCAAGTGTATTAGGAAATATCTGGAAAGGTGGACTATTAAAATATTGAAATTAAGATTCCTTTTTTGGGAGGCTATTTGTTTTTTGAGACAGGGTCTTTCTACATAGCTCTGGCATTGTGGAGCTCATTATGTGGACCAAGCTGGCCCCTGACTCACTGCTGGGACTCAATTGTTTTTCTTAATCAAATGATTTTCTTAATCATTTACCTAAGCCACAGTCTATGGCTCCTCAACAGAAACTCATGTGTTTTAGCTGTGTGACACTTCCTTGTTTATATTTTTATCATCAAAACTCTATTTGAACAAACATTATTATTATCAATTAAACAGTACAGCTTAAGAAGAAATCATCTTCATAATCACACGTAAAAATGCCCAGTAGGGCAGGATGTTTCCATGAGATAAAGACACTACATTATAGCAGTGGGGATCTACCCACACCCATTCACACCATGCCAGATACCAGAGAAAGATGGCAGCAACAAGCATGTAAACACACAGCAGAAGTAAAAGAAATTCTGGAGTCTGTGGTCTTCTTGGGACAGGGGAAGGTGTGTGGGGGGGGAGTTGTCTATTCAAGATTCATCAGGAATTTGACTCCTGGTGGACTGACACCTTGAACTTCAATTGGCACCTGCTGCTCCTCTGACAAGGCCACTGGCACAACCAGAAATAACAGAGTACTCAAGAATACCCCCCCACCCCCAGTTCACACACACACAATAGAAAATTTCCTACTTTAGGAGCTTCCTCTGAACTTCTTGGGTTCTTTCTTCAACTTGCTAGATGTTTCTTTCATTTGGGACAATTGTGTCAAAGAGGAGTGGTGCACAATAATAAGATGAATTAGAAGAATCTGAAACAAACTGAATGGAATGCAGAGCCCCTTCTCATGCCAAACCAGACCTCAAGACCAGGCAGGAGGACTAAGTGTCATGCTCTGCCTATGCTGCATGGGGAGACCCTGTCTCAGAAAGGGGAAAGAAAAGGAAAGATGAAACAATCATGCAAATGGATAGATTAATTCAGAAAAGCTCTAGTAAAGCTCTTTCATTGTATTTCTGTAGTTTTGACAATATTTTAAATTATTTCAAATATTTTTTGTATTTTTTTTTTCCTAAGAGAAAAGAAGTTCAACAAATCTGGCTAAATATAAAGTGGGGCGGGGAGGAGCATTTAATGAAGTCTTCACATTCCTGAGACACAGCAATTGATTGAAACCACACAGTAAAGGAAACTGCAGAACACACAGCCGATAGAAGGGAGAAAAAAAAAAACAAAAAACTTCACCATCTGTAATACTTCAGACAAAATATTCATATCAGAATTAATAAAGAACTGCAAAAGTTAAACACCAGGGGCAAAAAGAAAACCCACCAGTCAACAAGGGACTAATAAATTGAATAGACAACCTGAAAAAAAAACCTACCACAAATGGCCAATAACTACTTTTAAAGGTGTTCAATATTCCTAGTCATTGGGGAAATGCAAAATCTATGAGATAATGAGACACCACCTCACCACAGTCAGAAAGGGCATTGTCGGGAATTCTGACACCAAATGTTGGAAAGGATATCAAGAAAGGATGACTCTTATTCACTGCAGTGGGAATGCAAATTAATACAACCAATGTGATTGACCAATGTGGAGGTTCCTCAAAAACTTAAAAGGACTACCCTTCTTTTGGTTATATAACCATAGAACTCCATATTCTACCATAGAGATATATGTACATCCATATTTGTTATTCTATTTATGATAGCAAGGAAGTAGAGCCAACCTAGTTGTCCATCAGAAGAATCATAGATAATGATCTAATATATACACATGCACACACTCCCCCATCCACTCCTCATATTCCCAGGAATTCGGAGTTTCCAAAATTACAATATTCTAAACATACTTTTAATAGTTTCCACACTTTAGAAACATGAATAGCTAAAATTCATGCTAAAAGAATAAGAGACACTAATAATACAAAGAACTACAGTCCATAGAAATATTCAAACAACAAACAATTTAAAATTCAAATCTCCCAGTAAGGTAACAACCCCTCATGAAATCACATGTAGACACTGTCGGTTTAAGGATTGACTTTGCATTGAAAATGTGTTATCCCTTGAGAGATCTTAAAGTATAACATATATACTATATATGTGGACTCACTAGTTTGGATTTTATCTTTTATCCTTTCTTGTTCTCTGTTTCAAATGTTACACCATACCCACACATATTTGTTTAAATGTATGTATGCATTATAGGCTAAGATGCACATATGATGGAGAACATGAGCTTTTGTTTTTCTTTCTGAGACTGGGTCATTTTGTCTGTTACACACTCTTTAAGTCCATCCATTTTCCTGCAAAATTTCTGATTTCACTTTTTAGACCTGAATAATATTCCTTTACACACACACACACACACACACACACACACACACATACACACACACACACACACACCATACATGCCCAGAAGCATCTAAGGTTCATTGGAGCATCAATGTGCAAATGTGTCCATAATTCCCAAAGATTCATTGTAATTGCTGCCAAAATACCAATGATACCACAGTAAAAAAATTTTAAGATGTACATAAACC